GGTGTGTTTTTTTTGGGGTTTGGATTTTGAGTTGGGATTTGAATAGTAAAAATTTTGAATTTGAATAGTTGTATGATGTGATATAAATAGGGGTTGATGTGATGTTTTGAATGTAGAATTGATTTTTAGTATAATATAAAAAATAAAAAATAAGTGTTTGATTTGATGTTTTTAGGAGGAAAAAATGGAATGAATAGTAGAAATCCAACAAAATCTTTCAAACAAACACACCCTTAATATATTTGTTTATAATAATTAAATATATAAAAATTCATATAGGTCAACCATATATACAATAATTGCATATAAATTATTCGTCGTCATCAGACGAAGGATGTGTTTGTTTGTGATTTTCAAACTTAAAATTCTATTGTTCAAAGAAATAATATTTACTCCCTCGGTCCCATGTAATATGAGCTTATTATTATAGATACGGAAAATTTAGGTAAATTATAATTAGTAAGTAATTAAAAAGTATAATAATAATAAAAATTATTATAGATTAAGATAACTAAATAATTTAGTTAAGATTGAAAAAATTATGAAATATAAAATTTAAAATGTGATTAGAGTGTATAATCATATTTCCAAAAAAAAAAAAAAAAGAACAAATTATGTGGGACGAACAAAAATAAAAAATATTAACAAATTACGTGGGATGAATGAAGTATTATATTATGTATGATGTCGATGGTGGCTAAAGGTAATAAAGATTCATATCAATGCTACATCTTGAAAAGAGGATTCTTGTTTGGTTGCGATTTCAAATTAAAATTAATATTATATAACTTTTAATAAAATATGTTTTTTTTAATAAAATATTATATGAAAATATTATTTAAATAAAATTAAAATTTTATAGGAATATTTTATTTTTAATTAATTTTAAATCACAATCAAACAACACTAGCTCTAAACTATATAGTATTTCCTCCGTCTCATATAAAATACTCATATTTTTTTATTTTTGTCCATCTCATATAATTTGTTTTTTATTTTTGAAATATAATTATATACTTTAATCACATTTTAATTATAATTTTAATCAAATTATTTATTTATTTTTAATCTTAATCTATAATTATTTTTATTATACAATAATTATTTTCTACTGATACATTTTTTAATTACTTATTAATTATATTTTACCTAAAATCTCGTATCTACGATAATGTGGCAATATTATATTGGACGGAGAGGTAGTATATATCTAGTATTAATATTGAAATTCCTATGAAATATATTTATTAATTATTTTAAATAAAATAAATAACCTTATATAACTTTTTATATAAAAAATTTGATATTAATTCAAAATTTTAATTTTAATTATTGAATTTAATTACGTGTTTATTTGTATTTTTTCCCAATAATTTTTACTATTAAATCTACTGTTTCTTCATAAAAATATAATAATAAATAATAAAATAGGAATTGTTTAATGGTTTATGGCCAAATTGAGCAAATAATTTGCTGTATTTAATTTGTTCTTAATTTAAACTTTAACATGCAAATATTGCTAATTTGGGACAATCATTAATGCAGTACTCCCTCTCCCCTATTTTTTTATTTGGTGTGTGTTTGTTCGGGGGTTTGGATTTTGAGTTGGGATTTGAATAGTAAAAATTTTGAATTTGAATAGTTGTATGTTGTGATATAAATAGGTGTTGATGTGATGTTTTAAATGTAAAATTAATTTTTATTATAATATAAAAAATGAAAAATAGGTGTTTGATTTGATGTTTTTGGGGGGAAAAAATTGAATGAATAGTAGAATTTTGTTAAAATTTTACAAACAAACACACCCTTGGTACGTTTAAAAATTATTGTCATATTTTTTTAAAAATATAAATTTTTATAATTAATGACAAATTTGTCAATTTATAACAAAAATACAATCACCTAAAAAATCGTGCAAATATACTTTAGAATTATAGAAATTATACGGAGAAAATAGTACTTTTTATTCCAATTTTGCTGTCATTTAATTTCCCTTCGTCAACTCTGTAGGAATTTTTTTTTTTTAACAAAAGTTTTTCAATATATTTTTTTAAAAAAATTAATATATTATACATACTTATTATTTTTATATCTCATTCAAAAAAAATTTCTTTAAACAAAAATACCAAACGAACACATCTGTAGTTTTCACCGTAAATTTCTTATTCTAAATTCATCACTATCGTGATCCTTTATCTTCTCCGCATTTGACTTTTTTTTTTTTTATTCAAAATAAAATATACCAAATATTCTTGAAAAAGATGCAAAAGCACGTTCAGATTATATTAAAATACATTCTGGAACGATTTTATAATTTTAGAGTGTTCAGAGAAGTAACAAAAATCTAATAGGAAATTATATGTATTTTATATGATCTAAATATATATTTATTTTATCATTTTTTTTGTTTTTCAAATAAAAACTACTTTCCCTGTCGTCCAAATACATATTTATTTAATCGAACACGAATTTTAATAAAAATAAATAATAATTATTACTTTTTTTTCTTTATAGTAAAAAAACATAAAAATAAAAATTTAATTATTTTTTATTTATAAAAATAAAAATATATATATTATTTTATTAAAACTCAAAAAGAAGGAAGTAAGTATCAATTTTTTATTCTTAATAAATATAAATTCTACTACATATTATATGCATTTTAAAATTTATACTTATTTACATTAAGGGTGTGTTCGTTTGATAGATTTTGACAAAATTCTATTATTCATCCAAAAATTTTCCCCCAAAGATATCAAATCAAACACCTATTTTTTATTTTTTATATTATACTAAACATTAATTTTACATTCAAAATATCACATCAACACCTATTTATATCACATCATACAACTATTCAAATTCAAAATTTTTACTATTCAAATCCCAACTCAAAATCCAAACCCCAAACAAACACACCCTAATACTATTAAATCAAATTATATGTCAATGAGAAGACATTCATTTATATACATAGTGCGGATTCGATCAAATTATTATATGTTTATAAAAAGTGTAACTCATATTCGACAATACATCTTAATATAATATACTATCTTCGTCCAACTCTAATGGTCCCATTTACTTTTGTGTTTTGATATTTGAATATTAATTATTATATAAAAAAGTAATACAAATTAAGGGGAAATGACAAAAATACTTCTATTAGTGTCTTATAATAGTATTATAATAACATTTGTGCAAAAAATTATACAAACAGAATTATATTTTTAATGTTAACTACAATGACGCAAAAAAGTAAATGAGATCCTTAGAGTCGGATGGAGGGAGTATATTTTATTAGTATATTATATAATTACATGTAACACAATATATTTCAATTTCAACACAATAAACAAATTATACAACACAGTGTAATATATAATCAACTAGCAAATATTAATAAAATATACTAACATAACACATTATATAATTTTATTTAGCACTTCCTTCGTCCTACTTAATTAATCCACTATTTCTATTTCTGTCTGTCTACATAATTTGTCTTTTCCATTTTTGGAAATATAATTATACACTTTAATCATTTTTTTAAATTCATAATTTTTTATTATTTTTATTTTAATTAAACTATTTAGTTATAATTTATAATTATTTTTATTAAATTACAATTATTTTATTAATACACTTTTTAATTACTTACTGATTACACAATACCTAAAACTTTGTGTCTAATCGGCAAATTAACTGAGATGGGTGGAGTATAATATATGTTGGTTTTGGTACAATAAGCATAATATATAACATAACACACTATATAATCCATACAATTCTATAATTACAATTTTATGTTACTATTAATTTTATGACTGTTTACTAAACTTATGTACAATTCTATAATTATCGCTCACAATTTTATTATTATTATTTTAACAAATTATAATTAATTTGTCATTAACTTTTCTATTTATTCTCCTATTTTTTTTAACAATCTCTTCTATTTCTTTTTTGGGAATAGTTAACGCATGTTCTTATTATAAACAACATGTAGTGTGGTAATAAAGACATGTGTTGTTTATTTTATAAGAGTATGTCATTTACTAAAATCAACTGTTGCCTGTTATATATGATGATGTGGAAATAAAATATTGATTTAATATATTTGATAGAAAAAGAAATTAAATTTTATAAATATATTAATAAAAATGTATATACATATCATTTTGTAGAAAATAAAATATTATATAATAAAAAATATTTATTTTTTACTATTATAAAATTATTTAAAATAAAATAGGTAAAAGATAATAATATAAATATATAATTATATTTTATATATAATACTCTCTACATTACACATACAGTGTCCACATTTTCATTTCATCTGTTCCATTTATTCTGTTACTTTTTTTTAAAAGAAAGAATTAAACACTTTAATTTTATTTAAAAATTTTTAATTTATAATTTTTTAATTTTAATTAGATTAATTAGTTATTTTAATTTTAATCTAAAATTAATTTTACTAAAACTCTTTAATTACTTACCCTTCCTAAATTTTGTGTCTACGGTAAAGTGAACACAATAGCGGAAATGGAGGGAGAACTATAACACTCCCTTCGCCCATTTTATAATGCCCTAATTGATATTTATACGTTTTTTTTAGACAATTAATTTTTTATTATAAATTGACAAATTTACTCTTTATCTTATGTATAAAAAAAATAAATAAAAATTAAAAAATAAATTTTATGTATAAAAATAAAAAAATAATAAAAATTATACGTTCTAAACAAAAATGGTGGGCCCAAATATTAAAATGGAGCCCATCTCATGAACGAGGCGTTACCCATTTGAAAGCACAGACGAGAATTAACATATTGGTCCAAAATGCAAGAGTACGAATGTACACAAATCCACCTGTCTAAAATATTAATTTAATCAATCATGCTTCAATCTCTTCCTTCAAATCTACATTTCTCAACAATTAATTCATTTCGATTTTTTTTTTTTTTTTTTTTTTTTTTTTTTTTTTTTCTGTCCGAATTCCACAAAATTCTTAAAACAATCAAATCAATGAATCTCGTCGATCCCGGCGCCGCCAATTCCGCCGGCGCCGTTTTCAGGCGGTCTCCGTCGCTTCGGAGCTCCGGCAAACTGCCGCCACGTCGGATGAGATTGAAAAGGACAGCCATTGCGTACTCCGGCAGCGTGTCGGCGGTTCAGTCGGAGCAGGAAGTGAAAGCCGCCGCCGGGGAGGAGCGGCGGCGGGGCTTCGACTTCAGCCAGTACGCGGCGGAGAAGGTGGAATTAGTGAACGAGGCGCTCGACGGCGCCGTCGCAATGAGGCGGCCGGCGGTGATCCACGAGGCGATGAGGTACTCGTTGCTCGCCGGCGGGAAGCGACTCCGGCCAATGCTGTGCATCGCCGCCTGCGAATTCGTCGGCGGGGAGCAGTCCGCCGCTGTAGCCGCCGCGTGCGCCGCCGAGATGGTGAACACGGCGACGGTGATCCACGACGACCTGCCGTGGTTGGACAACGACGATCTCCGGCGCGGCCAGCCGACCAGTCACAAGGTGTTCGGCTATAAGGTAGCTGTGCTCGCAGGTAACACTACAACATATGTTTCTCGAAACTTCGACGACATATATATATATATATCATTAATACAGAAGGCTACTCTTTTGTTACAACCAATTCAGAAATCAAACTCACGGTTTGAAATTTATTAGTCTGCCACGTAAAATTATGATAATTAACTTTTTTTCTTGGTATAAAAGATTATAATGAACAATCTATTTAAACAGAGATTTTTTAAGTTTCTTTAAAAAAAAAAAAAATTGAGAATAATAAACAATTATTTAATATGATATTAGAAAAAAAAAAGGTTAACGGCAATGGTTCCAAAAACAATTATGTTTTGGGTTTTGAGAACGATAATTTTAAATTAAAATAATTATTTGCACTACAAGAAAATATTATTTTTGTAACGAGATTTTTCCGTCTTTAAATTCACTTTTTCCGTTACTAATGATATTAGAGATGGAATTAATGATGGAATTACGTTAGCTACGTGATCTTTAGTTACGGAATTCCGTTACAAATATACTATTTTTTTTGTAGTGTTGATGTAATATATATAAATATTAATCTAATATTTTAAATGTAAAATTAATTTATAATATAATATATGTTGATCATTCTTTATAACATATGTTACTCTGATCAAATCAATATTATGTTAATTTGATTGGATCAGCAACTGATCCATACATATATAATTTTTTTTAAAAAAATCGTTTGTATCATGGCAGCTGATTTTTTATCGGCCTTCGCATTCGAGTTCTTAGTGACAGCCACAAAAAATGCATCTCCGGAGAGGATCTTAGCATGTGTTGTTGAATTAGCAAATGCTACGGAAGGCATAGCGATAGGGCAAGTGGTCGACATGCACCTCACCGGAAACAATGCTAACGTGACACTAGGCACATTAGAATTCATACACAACCACAAGGCCGGTGTATTAATAGAGGCTTCGGTGGTGATGGGGGCCATTCTTGGCGGTGGAAGTCATGAACAAGTGGATAAACTACGGATCTTTGCCCGAAAAATTGGATTGCTCTTTCAAGTAGTAGATGACATACTAGATGTGACCATGTCGTCGCAAGAGATAGGAAAAACTGCGGGCAAGGACTTAGCCACTGACAAGGCGACATATCCAAAGCTTTTGGGGCTCAAGGGTGCCCGTGAATTTGCAAAGAAATTGCGGGATGAGGCTAAGGAGCAATTGGTGGAGTTCGATTCGGATAAGGCGACACCACTAGCCGCTCTAGCTGAGTTCATCGCTTATAGGAAAAAGTGAAGAATGAAGAGTCGTGTTTAATGTTGTTTTGAATTTGTATTTATACTTTGTTCTTATATGTGTATCTGTATGGTATTTTGTCTTCTTCGATATGTGTTGGTGCAGGAGATCTCATCCCGTATTTTTTTACAATAGTTTGCCGTATTTTAAAGAATTTGATGTGTACGAATGGTGACAAACAGTATACAAATTTAATAGCTTTGTTTGAACGGTAATTTAAAGTTAAGTCTCTCACGGGCAGAGTATGTGAAGGTATTGAGAAAGTTGAACAAATATGATGCTAAAACTCGTAATCACACATGATGAGAGTTGCTTCAAATTGTTAAACAATGACTCACCAAAGAAAGAGTTGAAACATGCTTAGATTGATAAGTGTTCTCTATGCATCCGCTTCCGAAAGCCCAATGTACGTCAAATTTGGTATAAGATTGGATAAAACACATGCAGTGAGAGTAGTAGTTGATTTATGAGTAATATGCAAATTGAGAAGGAGGAATGAAATGGATACTAAAGTATTTACGAAGTACCGCAAATAAAACATTGATCTTCGAAAGAATGAAACTTTAGTTAACTGGATTTATGGATGTCGATTTAGCAGGAAGCAACTATAACAAGAGAAAGAATACATCTGGATATGTATTCAGTTATAAAGGTACAATATTATGATGAACTTTGACGCTGCAAAAGGTAGTTTCTTTGTCAATGATAGAAGTAAAATACCTTCCAATAACAATTTCTCATTCATATTTTAGAGTTTTTCTCTGGGTAAGTCGAACCGAACTCATCAAATTTCTTTTGATTTTCCTGTAGACGACTTCATCCATATCTTAGAGTTTGTTTGATCGCGGTTTGAATTTGATTTGAAATTTTGTTTAAATAGTATTTTGGTATATGATATTTTGTAAAAAAGTACTACCTCCGTCCCACATACCGTGTCTGCTACACTGTAGACACGGTATTTTAGAAGATGTGTAATTAGTATATAATTAAAAATGTATTAGTAAAAATAATTATTCTATAATATAAATAATTATAAATTAAGATTAAGATAACTAATTAGTTTAATTAAACTTTTAAAAAATAAAATTAAAAAGTTTAAAATGAGATTAAAGTATATAATCATTCACCAAAAAAAGGAAAGTGACATGGTATGTAGGACCGACAAAAACGGCAACGTGGACATGATATGTGGGATGGAGGGAGTAGTATATTTTTATTGAAAATTATGCACAATAAAATGTTCATTTTAATGAATTGTTAAAATAACAAACCTTAACAAACCAAACTAACTATTATATTACGGTAAAAATTAATTTCACATATAAAATATCAAATAAATATTTATTTAGGGCACACCAAACAACTATTTAAAATAAAAAAATTCAAAAATTCAAATCCAAAAACTTAAATCTGAATATATATATATATATATAAATCACGTCTAAATCAATATTTAAATTAAAATTAAAAAAAAAATCATCCAATAACTAAACCTAAGATAAATGTGCCTCTGTGTGCAGGCGTTTGACTATACTTGCAGTGTATCTCTTCTTAATTTCATCCATTTCCAAACAATTAATTCGTTTCATTACGGCTGTCCAAATTCGACGTATTAGTTCTTGAGATGCTCACGCGATCCGCAAATCCCGTTCATCCACGCGCTGCCAATTCCGCGGCCGTTTTCAGCCACCTGCGTACCTCCTTCCGACTGCTGCCGCCATGTCCGATGAGATCGAAGATGACCGGCGTTGCGCATTCCGGCGGCGTGTCGCCGGAGCAGGAAGTGAAAGCCGCCACCAGACCGGTGGAGCTGGGGGGCTTCGACTTCAGCCAGTACGCGGCGGAGAAGGTGGAATTAGTGAACATGGCGCTCGACGGCGCCGTCGCGATGAGGCGGCCGGCGGTGATCGACGAGGCGATGAGGTACTCGTTGCTCGCCGGCGGGAAACGACTCCGGCCTATGCTGTGCATCGCCGCCTGCGAATTCGTCGGCGGGAACCAGTCCAGTGCCGTCCCCGCCGCTTGCGCCGTGGAGATGGCCCACACGATGTCGCTGGTCCACGACGACCTGCCATGGCTGGACAACGACGACCTCCGCCGCGGCAAGCCCACTGTTCATAAGATGTTTGGGGAGAAGGTTGCAGTCGTTGCTGGTAAAATAATTATTTTTAATATAATAGTTGGGTAAACTGATTTTAGTCTCAATTTCCTAATTGAAGTATATAGCAAATTAGTTCTGTAAATTTTTACAAATATGACAAAATAAACTAAATCAAAAAAATTTATAGAAAAACTAAAATTAACAAAAATTCTTGTGTTTGCCGAGTGTTGGTAACGTGACGGACATGTATTATCCCGCGAGCCATACAGGTGTCACGTAGGTATCTCCGGCGTCAAAAAATTAAAAGTGCGAAAAATTTTAACTTAGAGACTAATTTGCGATATATTCTTATTACATGATTAAAATAATAAAAAAATTTAGTTACGAAACTAAAATGATCTGTTTGCCCAGTATAATTGTGCATATTCTTACTTAGAAGACAAGGTTAAATTTGAATAATAAAAAATTAAAAAATTAATAATGTCTTATTATAAATAGTTAAAAATAATCAAAACGGGTTACAGAGTGTCCTTTTTCTGAGAATTATTGTTATTATTATTAGTTGTTTGGCTTGGAAGATGCTTTTGTGAAAAAAAAATAATAATAATTTCATATGAAATGCATACAATAAAAAAATTTAAAAAAAAAACACTGAATAGTAATATATAAATTCAAATATATTTTATTAACATTTTTTTTTGAAAAAATCTTTTAAAGTTCATTTTAATTAAAAGAATATATTTTGTAAAGATATTAAATGATAATTATATTTTATTCAAAAATTAATAATTTTTAAAATATCCAGAATACTATCGAATGCCAGTTGGAAAATATTTTCATGCTATATATATTGTGTGTATATTTAATATTGTTCACAAGTTACTCTATAAAGATTTCAAATATTTGTTTGAATATATATATATATATATATACATTCTTACATAAAAAATTTAAATTTAAAAGATTATATTACACATATAGTTTTCATTAATAATATTACATTCAAAACCGACTGTTCATTGCTCCACAAACAAACACACTTACAAAGGATTTTTTTTTTTTTTTTTTTGACGTGAGAATCTGGAGCGGATATTTTTCAAATAGTTTTAAATAATTAAATAGAACAGAAAAATTAAAGAAGGGTAAAGTGTTTTTTTAGTTTTGGTATCTAACCTCCTTTTATCATTTTAGTATTTTAAGTAGACCATGTCTGAAAATAGTCCTGTAAGTAAAAAATTTTCAATAAAATAGTCCTCCGGTGCCGGACTCGCCACATTGGTGTACCGTTGCTGACGTGGCGATGACGCACCTGACATCTCATTGCCACGTAGATGACACATCTGCGATATGTGGAAATTTTTTTATTTTTTATTTTACAAGATGTCTTCGTAAACTATTTTTTAGTCCCATATATGATCTCATTTATCATTTTTAGGATATTTAAATGGATTTTGTTTCAAAATAGTTGCATGTAAATTTTTTTCGTTAAAATGGTCATCCGATATGGCATCTATGTGGCAATGACACATCAGCGCCACGTCAGCAACAACTGCCAGCTTAGCGAGTTCGGCACCGCAGGACCATTTTAGCGGAAAAATTTTACTTACGAGACTATTTTTAGACGTAATTCACTTAAAGTTCTAAAATGATAAAGAAGGTTAGATACAGCACAAAAAAAAAAAAATTTTACTTATTAAAAATTGTCCATGCCATATCAGGTGATTCTTTAATGGCGTTTGCATTTGAGTTCATCGTAAGGGCTACCAAAGGTGTTTCGCCGGAAAGGGTCCTAGCATGTGTCGACGAATTAGCAAAGGCAATCGGGGCCGAGGGTGTGGCGACGGGACAAGTGGTCGACATGAAACTCACCGGAAACAATACTAATGTGACTTTAAACACTTTAGAATTCATAAGCATCCATAAGTCCGCCGTGTTGGTGGAGGCTTCGGCGGTGATGGGCGCGATTCTTGGCGGCGGAAGTTATGAACAAGTGGATAAACTACGTATTTTTGCTCGAAAAATTGGGGTGATGGGTCAAGTGGTAGACGACATATTAGATGTGACCATGTCGTCTCAAGTGTTAGGAAAAACTGCGGGAAAGGACTTGGCCACCAACAAAACGACATATCCAAAACTTTTGGGTCTCGAAAATGCTCGCGAATTCGCAAAAAAATTGTTCGAGGAGGCCATGGAGAAACTAGTAGAGTTCGATTCGAATAAGGTCGCGCCATTGGCCGCTTTAGCGGAATACGTTGCTTTTAGGAAGAACTGATGGATGGATTAGAATGAATGTTTTGAGTTTGTTCATTTTGTATTTTTTTTCTTTTAATTATTTTAAAATGAAATTATTGTTGAATATAATGTTATACATGAAAAATTAGTGTTGAATATATATATATATATATAAATATTTTGACAGAGTTTGAAAGTGTAGAAATAAATTAAGGAAATAAAATGGAAAAGGAAACAAACCCTTTGTTCTTACACTCCATATCTTCGGTTCTAAATGTCTCATTTACTTTTTTGTGTCATTATACTTAATAATAAAATATCTTTATAATTTATATTTGTATGATTTTTTTACACAAATATCATTATAATAGTATTATAAAACACTAATAGAAGTATTTTTTTACATATAATATTTTTTAATTGAAAATAAATATTGAAGACGGTGAAATTCACGGAGTGTATTCAATCAATTGTTTATAAGATTTTGTTAGATTTTTAAATTTTAAGCGTATTTAATTTATATTTTAAAATTTTTTATAATTTAGAGGTATTTAATTCATTTTTCCAAAAAATATTTTAAAATATTAATATATTTATTACAAGCTTTTAATTTTTTTAAATATTTAACAATTTATAAACTTTAAAATTTCGTGAAATGTATTAAATTTCTACTAAAAATTATAAGAAAATTATATTGTACGAAATCTCTCATAATAAAGTAAACAAAACTTTTTATAGATTCTTATAATTTTAAGAGAAATATATTATTATATTGATGTATATATAAATGATACGTACTAGGATAATTTTTATTAATATTATTATAACTTTTTGAAAACTAATAATTTAAAACTAAAATATGCTAACAAAATTGTTATCAAATTCTCTAAGAGTGTATGTGTTTTTATATTATTACCATTTTATCTTAATAAATATATATTACTATCAACTTTTATTTTTCAATTAGAATACACAATTTCGTCGTTCCGATTATAGTAAACTAAATATTTATATAGTATTGAAAAAATTATTGAAATAAATAAAAGTAAAAAATAAAAAATTTAATTGGGCAATTTTTTTTTCTATTGAGAAATTATATTATATTTTGATTTTATAAAATAATAAATAAATAAATATTTACAAAATATAGCGATCGAAAACCGCGGTAATCTTTTAATTTGTAATATTTTCAAAATATAATAATTGAAAAATTAAAATTACTTGGAGAACAAATAAACATGAAAAAATATAGTATTATTTTATAAATTTAAAAACTTAGCCCCTTTCATTGTATAATTATGGTTGGGCCACTAATTAAAAATACCTTAATTAAAATATAATGTCTATTAAACTTCAAGTTAAAATTAGACAATCAATGGTAACAAATGCATTATATAATAATCGCAACCGTTGAACTGAATCGAATTTTCGGTTAACCGAGTAAATTCGGTTCGAATACAAATATTGCATACTTGATATTTGTTCGGTTCGATTCGATTTCGATTTTTGATATTTTTTTCGATTCGGTTAACTAAACCGAATATATTTTATATATTTATATTATTATATTTTAAAATTTATATTAATAATTATATTCGGTTCAGTTTCGGTTCAGATATTTGAAATATTTGCAAATATTTTGATTTAATTAGAATTTAAATTATTTTTTAATATATTATTTTTTAATTTTAATTCGGTTTGAATTATTTACAAATATTGCAAATATTTTCGGTTAACCGAAATTTTCGGTTCGAATACGATTCAATTTCGAATATTTATTCAGTTTCGTTCGGATATCAAATAGCTGTATATTTACAAAATATGCTCACTCTTGTTAAATATTGAATAGAAGTTTGCCAGTTCATTATAGTAATTTTAATTAAGGTCAATACATTTGATAATAAAAAAGATAAGAATTAATTTAAACAGTATTTTATATGTCACGCCACTATTTAAAATTTAATTTAGAATTAAGTGTATCCTACGTTATAACGAAAATTTAAAAGTAAGGCTGAGTACTTGGATCCGAAAATTCAATTTTATTAATTTTTTTCAATAAAAAGTCAATCTGAATCTAATCGATATTCGAACCAAACTAAGAGTGTGTTACTTTATACCAAAACTCTTACGTTTTTACTATTTGAATTATGTTTCTCAGATAAAATAATTTTTTTTTTTCTTACAAGATAATTCATCGTACATTATTTTAATACCAAAACCAAATGAAATTTTTTTCAAACTTATCAAAAGAGACAAGCTCTTAAAAAACAGCAATAATCTGAAATTCTATTTTTTATTATTTTTTTCAAATTTTCAAATTTTATTTATATTTTTATAAATATTTTATAACATTAAATATATATTAATAATTAAAAATAAGTATACTAAAATATAATTAATAAGTTTGAGTTTTTATTTTATTAAAATATTAATATATGATACTAATAAAATATATTAAAATACTATAATATTTCAAATTTTGGATTAGTTTTAATTTTTAGTATACCGATTTGAATGTTCTAAATTTATAAAACATTCAATCCGTATCGATACAAAAAAATTAAAAGAATATCAAATTTTAAATTTCAATTTAATTCATATTGTATTTTAGATTTAAAATATTTTGCGCGCTCCTAACTTAAAATATTAATTACCGCAGTTCAATACATTATTGTTTCTATTAATATACTTCATTCGTCCCGTGAAATTAGTCCAGTTTCTTTTGGACACGCAGTTTAATAAATATTGTGTTAGTTAATTAATTATTTTGATTAATAAATGTAATAAAGTGTTACATTAAATATTTTTTTTATTTGATAAAATATTAAATTAATAATTAAAATATTTTTTATTTTAATTTTTAAATATTGAATTTATTTACTGATATCATTTAAAAATAATAATAATAATTGTATTTATTGTAAATCAAATACATGCATTTAAATAAAAAATAATAATAATTTTAATAATTTAAATGTAATTTATACAATAAAAAATGTAATAAAAAAAATTTTATATAAACAATATATAAAATTTTTCGAATTTGGGTGTTGTTAGAGATAGTTCTTAATGACATAACAAATTTAATATCACATCGTATATGTACGGTACAAAATTTTTGGTAAGATATTTTACCGTACCGTACAAATATTTTGGTATACCGAATTTGCGAATAAAAAATACTGAATTACAGTAACATGCATGCTCGTAAAAAAAAATACCGAAAAAATTTTAAAATTTCGATACAATATAACTTTTTTGTATGATAATAATATACAATAAGATATTTTCAGTATATATAGATAATTAAAAAAAATGGTATTTTTGTATATTCTAATTATATGATACAATATCGATATTTTTTTTTTATAAATTAAAAAATTTGATACGGTATAAAATATATTTCGAAATTTTCGGTATACTATCTCAAACCATCCCTAACTGAATTGTGTTTGAGAATAAGCTGTCAGTATATTTTTTCAACTAAAACACATGTTAGGCATGTTGTATGTAGAGATGTCAAATGGGGCGGATTAGCCCCGGACCCGCTCTTAATAGAGCGGGTTCAGGTCTAAATAATAAGTTTCGGGGCGGGTTGTGAATTTAAAATTTTAAATCCGGCCGGGTTTGGGGCGGGTTACGGGTTTTACTAAAAATTCGTTCCAACCCGGACCGGTACCCGAACTCGGGTATTTTTTAAAATTATTATAACTAATATATATGTACATTTATATAATAAAAATATATTATTTATTTACTTAAATAATTTTAAATATAAAATTCATTTAGTTGTCTGCAATTATTATACCTAATATATATATTTATATAATAAATATATATTACTTATTTATTTATCTTATTTTTATGGATCAATATTTGATTGTTTTTAGTTTTTTTTTGTGCTTTTAATGCTATTTGTTTTAGTATTCGATTGTTAAAAAAATATTTATTATTATATATTTTTTAAAAAAAACGGGTTTGTCAAATTGGCCCCGAACCCGGGGCCGGGTGAAAGCGGGACGAGGCAAGTCTCGAAGCCTAATATTTTCTAGCGGGGCGGGTCTCGGGGCCTAGAGAACCCGTCCCAAACCCGGCCGTTGATATCCCTAGTTGTATGTACATATTCTATTTGCGAAAACTAATATTAACACATGTTTTGTGAAAATAATTGTTATTTGTTATCGGTTTATATATTGTATTTTTATTATGTTAACCGAATCGATAAGTGGGCATGAGGCTTCAACCCTTCCCTCCTTTTTATTTTATTTGATTATGTTTCACTAATTTTTAAAAATATATGTATATCCAGTATAAAAATAATAATCAGTGTTAAAAAAATACTAAAAATTTTAATTGTGATTTTTTTCTAATGAAAATTTGGACTCTCCCGTTCCAATTTAAAGGGTCATTTGAAGTTTGGTAAGTAAATTAAATAATAATAATCTTTTATTATTTGAAGTTTTGTAAGTAAATTAAATAATAATAATATTTTATTTTTTTAATAGTAATAATATTTTATTATCATGATAAGTATGTAAGAAGTTTTAAAATTTTTGCTTTTATATTTTATATATAAAGTAATTTTATATGTGTAATGGTAGGATGATAATTTAAGTAAAAATAAAATATTTGGTTTTTTTTAGTATAATTAATTTTATTAAAAAAAAAAATTAGCCTCAGCTTTCGTGGAAGTCTAGTTTGGTCAGTAAAATTAATATAATTTATGTGTATATATATATATATATATTTATGACATGTATTGTTTGAACAAAAATTATTTTTGGTCTCATTCAAATATCATAATTATCAATTTTAGTCACATTCAAAAAAATTTATCAATTTTGGTCCAATTCAAATAAAAATTTATCAATTTTAGTCCCAAGGTGGTTGACTAGGACTGAACACGGCCGTATTGGATGACTCAAAAGGTGACTGGACGTCCCGGACAGCCAACAAGGGCCGCGTTGATTGCGCATATTCTGAACACAGTCATGTTCTTGTCCATGTTGTCAACACAACCATATTCTAGGTCACGTTTCTGCTCATATTATCAACATAACCATGTCTAGGACATGTTCACGACAATGTTTTTAATATAATCATATCGTAGATTATATTTATTATTATTTTCACTTTTTGATTAAAATTATTTAATATATATATTTATAATTCAACAAAAATATTTTTTACAATAATTTTATAATATAAAAAATAGTCAATTTTTAATATTATAAAAATATATAAAAATAATATATTAATATATATTTTTAATAATACTCTCTCCATTACACTTACCATGTTCACATTGCCGTTTTTGTCCATCCCGTATCTCATGTTACTTTTCTTTTTTGGAAAATAATTACACAATATTTTTTAATTTTAATTAAACTAATGAGTTATCTTAATTTTAATTTATAATTATTTAATTTTTATGATAATTATTTTCACTAATACATTTTTAATTATCTACTAATTATACTTATAATCAGACATCCAATGTGAGACGGGGGAGTATTATTTTGAAATATTATTTTGAATAATAAATTTAATTTATAATTTATAGAAATAATTAATTTGAAATAATATTTTAAAATTTTTACTATAAATTTTTAAAAATATATATATTAATATATTATTATTTTTATATATTTTTTAAATATTAAAAATTGATTATTTTTTATATTATAAAATAATTGTAAAAAATATTTTTGTTAAATTATAAATATATATATCAAATAATTTTAACCAAAAAGTGAAAATAATATATATGACCTACAATATGATTATATTGAAAACATGGTCGTGAACATGACCTATAACATGAGCATGACCTATAACATGATTGTGTTGAGAACATGGATAGAAACATTATTTAGAACATGGTTGTGTTGAGAAGATAGACAAGAACATGGATGTGTTTAGAATACGGGCAGAAACACGCCGTGTTCAGAAGTGCAGGGTAATCAAGATGACCGTGTTGGCTGCCTGGGACACGCATTTACCTTCTGAGTCATCCAACATAGCCGTGTTTAAGCCAACACGATCGTGTTCAGTCTCAGTCAACCATTTTAGACTAAAATTAATAAATTTTTATTTGAATAAGATCAAATTTTTTTTTTTTAATAAAATTAAAATTTATAATTATGATATTGAATGAAACCATTTTTACTCTTATTGTATTATGAAGTGGGACGGAGGAGCGCCTTGTTTTAAAAAATAAAATCATTATTTAACAAGTATAATATTAATTATTTAATATAAGTGATTGAAAAATATGCTTAAAAAAGGCCTAAATAATCCCATTGACACAACCTAAAGGAAAATTATAAAAATATCTCCATATATATCATTAGCACTTCTATTATATATTTATTTTATTTAGAAAATATATCATATATATTTGTAAAAATTGTTATTTTTAGTTGGATGCGGTCTCAAAAGGATAAAAATAACCATTTTACAAACATATAAGATATAGATGAATATAAAACAATATTGTTTGCAATTTTCTCCCGCACCCTGATAACTAATCATGGTTCAATATCTTCCTTCAAACCTACGTTTCTCAACAATTTAATTATTTGAATCTTTCTGTCCAAATCCCACGGAACTATACAGTAAATCAAATCAAATCAAATCAATGAATCTACTATATCCCTTCGCCGTCAATTCCGCCGTCGTTTTCAGCCAGCCGCCGCCGCCGCTTCGGAGCTCCGTCGTGGGCACCGCCAAACTTCCGCCATGTCCGATGAGACTGAAGAGGACAGGCATTGCATATTCCGGCGGCGTATCGCCGGTTCTGCCGGAGCAGGAAATGAAAGCCGCCGCCGCCAGGGAGGAGCGGCGGCGGGGCTTCGACTTCAGCCAGTACGCGGCGGAGAAGATGAAATTAATGAACGAGGCGCTCGACAGCGCCGTCGCGATGCGGAGGCCGGCGGTGATCCATGAGGCGATGAGGTACTCGTTGCTCGCCGGCGGGAAGCGAATCCGGCCGATGCTGTGCATCTCCGCATGCGAATTCGTCGGCGGGAACCAGTCGGGCGTCGTCCCCGCCGCCTGCGCCGTCGAGATGGTGAACACCGCGTCCCTCATCCACGACGACCTGCCGTGGATGGACAACGACGACCTCCGGCGAGGGAATCCCACCAATCACAAGGTGTTCGGCGAGAATATTGCCGTGCACGCAGGTAATAGAATGCGTGCGTTAATTCTGCCTAACACACTCGAAGAGGAACGAATGCGAACTTTCACATGAAAAGAAAATATAAAATAAAATAAATGAACGAGTAAACTGAGCTTTTAGCATGATCTGTTCATGATTTTAGTCTAGTAATTATAGTGTGTCACAAATTAATAGTGTAAGTAGAAAAATTTCGAAATTTTAGTCCTTCAGCGTTGAAGATGCCTACATGGCTTGTGGGAATTTTTTTTTTTTAATTTTTACAAAAAAATACAAAATAAATTAATTAAAAAAATTAAATTAAAAATTTAAAAATAAAAATTAATGTGTCCGCTAGTTGTCGCTGACTTGGCGGACACGTGTCCTCCGAGCTATGCGGGTGCCATGTAGGCATCTCCGGTGCCGGAGGACTAAAATTGCGAAAATTTTTCACTTACATGACTTGTTTGCGACAGGCTTCAGTTATGAGACTAAAATGATAAAAAAAAAGTTTAATTACGAGATTAAAAAATCAGTGTACCCAAAAAATAATTAATACAAAGTGTATATATAGTACCCTTTTCATAAAAAAAATATTACATACATTAATCATGTGTATCTTGACTTAATATTATAGATAATATACAATATTTAACTTAAGATATAGCAAACTATAAACATTTACATTAATGCAACAAAATATTCTTCTAACCAAATTAATTTTATTGTATTTTAAAAAAAAAATAAAATTTATAAGATAAGATATATATATATAAAATAAAATATACTCCTTCCGTTTTAATTCAAAGTATCTTATTTATCATTTTCGTCTGTTCTACTTCCAAGTATCTTTTTTCCTATTTTAGAAAAAGTATCATACTAATATCAGAATAACCTTAATTTTTACTTAACCTACAAAGATACGATTACACATACAATTACTTTATACATAAGGTCAAAGAGCAAAAATGTCAAAAACTCTTACATGCTTCCACTAACTAATAAAATACGATTACATTTTTTAATATACTATAAAACCCTAAAAGACCCCTTTGATTCGGTGCGGATGCAATATATTATATGTTACCTATATACAACTTGTTAAACAGAAGAAGTAAAGAATTGATCGTATCATGTCAGCTGATTCTTTAGTGGCCTTCGCGTTCGAGTTCATAGCGACAACCACCAAAGGAGTCTCACCGGAAAGGGTCGTAGCATGTGTCGATGAATTAGCAAAAGCGCTTGGAGTCGAAGGCATGGTGGCGGGGCAGGTGGTCGACATGAAACTCACTGGAAACAATGCGAACGTGACACTACACACATTAGAATTCGTACACAGCCACAAAGCCGGTGCCCTAATAGAGGCTTCCATGGTGATGGGAGCCATTCTTGGCGGAGGAAGTCATGAACAGGTGAATAAACTGCGGGTTTTTGCCCGAAAAATTGGATTGCTCTTTCAAGTGGTGGATGACATATTAGATATGACCATGTCGCCGCAAGAAATAGGAAAAACTGCGGGCAAGGACTTGGCCACCGACAAAGCGACATATCCAAAACTTTTGGGGCTCAAGGGTGCCCGGGAATATGCAAAGAAGTTGTGCCATGAGGCTAAGGAGGAGTTGGCGGAGTTCGATTCGGATAAGGCGGCGCCGCTACTTGCTTTAGTTGAGTTCATTACTAGTAGGAAGAGTTGAAAGTTGAGGAGTTGTGATTAATATTTTTGTGAATTTGTATTGGAATTTATATGTTTTTTTTTTTTTTTTTTTTTGACGTGAGAATTTGCAGTTGCTAACCGAAAATGTGCACTGGGTAAATCTCCGATCGAACCTAATACGCTGCAAATTAGGCCCAACAGACAAATCATAACATGGCTATGAATTGTTGGATATGTGAAAATTTTAGTTACCAGTTAAATTAGAAGTCTTGCCCCAAGACATCTTGTTAAAAAGGGATGAGGATTTTCAACATAAAACTAGTAGGGACAAACCAAAGGTGGTGTTTGGTTTGTATGTCAAGTTTAAATCACTATTATTCAATTTGTACAATTTTTAATAAATATATTCCTTTGGTTCTGGATGAAAGTATTTCTTTAAAATTTTACAATAGATTAAGAAATATAGTATTTTATTAGTCAGTGAAAATATGTAAGATATTTTGATATTTTTGCTATTTGATTTTTATGTATAAAATAATTGTATATGTAATGATATATTTGTAATTTAAGTAAAAATTAATGATAATTTGGTATTAGTATATGTTTGTAATTTAAGTAAGAAAAATATTACTTTTTTTTTTTACCATAATTTTTTTAAAAAAATAAAAAGTACACTCACAATAAAATTCTTGCTAAATATTTAAGCATATCTTGAGGTGACGGATTTTAACATTTGTTATAAAGATTTAAAAAACTAACTTCAATAAAGTTTACGTAAGATAGATCTCATTTTATATAAAATCAAAAATTAGATATAGTTAATAAAAAATAGAGAATTTTAGATATATATATTTATTTGTGTATTTAGGAGAAAGGTAAATTGTTTTTTTAGTCCCGTAACTAGACCTTTTTATCATTTTAGTCCCCTAACTGGAGCTTGTCGCAAACTAGTCCCATAAGTGAAAGATTTTCTCTGTTTTAGTCCTCCGGCGCCGGAAACGCCCGCGTGGCTCGCCGGAGGTGATGTGTCCGTGGATTTATTATTTTTTTTTCATTTTTTAAAATTTATTTTTAATTTTATTTGTATTTTGTTTATTTGTTCCAATTAAAAATAAGTTTTAAAAAATTGAAAAAAAAAATAAAAAAAGAATCCACGTGTCCGCCAGGTCAGCGACACCTGGTGGACACGTCACTTCCGGCGAGCCACGCGGGCATCTCCGGCACCGGAGAACTAAAACAACGAAAATTTTTCACTTATAGGACTAGTTTGAGACAGGCTCCACTTACGGGACTAAAATGATAAAGGGGTCAAGTTACGAGACTGTAAAAAAACAGTTTACCCAAATAAAAATTATAAATAAATCATATTTAAAGAGATATATATATTTTTTTTTTTGAAAAGAGAGCTTATACGAAAAATAATAAAATAAAATGAAAGCGTAATATCAAGTGATATCCGTCCAAACACCTCAGTAGTATTTCTTCTTTTAAAAGTTATGCCACATGCTTGAAACTTAATTTTCAAGTTTTTACATGTATGTTTATTTATAAACTTTTGATTTTGAATTTTAATGTTAAATATGTTTGTTGATTCTTGTTTGTAGATAAATAAATAAATGATAAATATTTTAATAATTTAAACTTTTATGTGAATCGATCATTTATTTCATCTTAATATTGTTTACTTATACGAGTAAAATTGAAATTTTCATAACATTAGTAATATAATTTTTAAATTAAACTGAATTAAGTGCAAAGAAATACATGTAGTCCATCAATGACAATAAATTGATGAAAATTAGTGAATAAAATTTTAAATAATGATTAGCATTTTATTATATATTCTTTATTTTCTTAACAAATTATTTATTTTTTCATTTCGATTTCTCCTATAATAAATTATTAATTTATTTTTTTTAAGCAATTGTAATATTTATTAACATTACAAATATCCTTACCATTTACTATATATAATATAAATATTATTATATTTTTATCACACAGTACTGATAATATTAGTTATTTTTACTTTATTCCAGAGAAAAGTTCGCTGACCATCCGTCTTTTTCTTCCTTCAAGTCATTCTCAACAATACGTTTGAATATTTCTTATGACGATGAGATCCGCAAATCTCGTAGACCTACGCGCCGTCAATTCCGCCGCCGTTTTGAGGCAGCCGCCGCCATTTCGGAGCTCCTTCGTAGTCTCCGCCGGACTTCCGCCATGTCCGATGAGATTGAAGAGAACGGGCATGGCGTATTCCGGCGGCGTTGCGGCGAGTCTGAACGAGCAGGAAGTGAAAGTCGCCGCCGGCGATAAGGAGGGGCGGCGGGCCTTCGACTTCGGCCAGTACATGGCGGAGAAGGCGGCGCTCGTGAACAGCGCACTCGACGGCGCCGTCGGGATGAGGCGGCCGGTGGTGATCCACGAGGCGATGAGGTACTCGTTGCTCGCCGGAGGGAAGCGGATCCGGCCGATGCTGTGCATCGCCGCCTGCGAGATCGTCGGCGGCCACCCGTCCGCCGCCGTCCCCGCCGCCTGCGCGGCGGAGATGATCCACACGATGTCGCTGATCCACGACGACCTGCCGTGTATGGACAACGACGATCTCCGCCGCGGCATTCCGACCAATCACAAAGTGTTTGGCGAGAAGATTGCACTCCTAGCAGGTGAAATAATATATCATACTCACTCGTCCGTTTCAAATCAAAAGTATTTTATTCTAGTGAAATAAATTAATATCATAATATTTTTAATTTTTATTTAAAATTATAAATATATTAATACATGTAATTATTTTATATACAAAATTAAATAATAAAAATATCAAAAAATTTTGCAACAAAAGTAATATTTATTTTTGCATGTAGATATTTTAATATTACGTATTATATTTATTTGTAGTGGAAAAGACAAAAATATTTCTATTAGATTGTGTGATAAAAAAGTAATGATATTTGTGTTATACTGCTTCCATCTCATATCTATATATCAATTTACTTTTTGAACGAAGTTTTAAAAATATTAGTATTATAATTGAAATAAAGTAGAAATAAACGTAAAAATACTAAATTAACTCTAGTAGTATTGTACGAGGTAAAGGTAATGACATTTGTGTAATATATTGTAAATTGAAAGGGTATTTGTAATGTTAGGTAGATGGTACAATTACTAAAAAAAAATGAAATGGATACTTTGTTATGTAACGGACCAAAATAAAAAATGGATAGATAGTTAAGGGACGAATGAAGTATATTGAAAACTGTAAATGTATTAATTATGGTAGATATGTAATACAATTACTAAATTTAAAAATTGTATCATTTCTTTAAGACGGACAAAAATAAAAAATTATATCATTTTTACCGGAGGAAGGGAGTATTATTTTTTATTTACTATAAATCCAAAAAATAAGACATTCGTAACATTTTTTAGTAACCTGTAGATGTATTTGTTTATGATTTTAAATATATTTAAAATGAATGAATAAATAATAATAATAATAACAATAATAATAAGTTATCTAAACATAGTAAGATAAATTAAATAGTACTTCCTCAGCCCCAAATATACCTTTATATGTTTATATTATTTTCGTCTTAATTTAAAGTATTTCTTTTATATTTTTATCTGTTTCATTTTTTTTTAAAAAAAATAATAATAATACACTATTATCAAATTACAAACATATTATGTAATATATTTATACTTTTTTACTAACTAATAAAATATTACTACCTTCGTCCCACATACCGTGTCTGCTACACTGTAGAAACGGTATTTTAGATGAGGTGTAATTAGTAGATAATTAAGAATATATTAGAGAAAATAATTATCCTATAATATAAATAATTATAAATTAAGATTAAGATAACTAATTAGTTTAATTAAAATTAAAAATAAAAATAAATTAAAAAGTTTAAAATGAGATTAAAGTGTGTAATTATCTTCCAAAAAAATAAAAGTGACATGGAATATGGGACGGACAAAAACGGCAACGTGGACATGGTATGTGGGACTGATGAATTATTATTTTTGAGTGTACTATAAAACTCCAAAAAGGTCCAATTGAATTGAGATAATGTGGTATTAAATTATTAATAATAATAATATTTGAAGAAATTTTGAAGAGAAAAAAAAAAAAAAAAAAAGCATAATTATTATTATTAAGATATTTAGATTAATTTTAAATTTGATAGTTAAATTATAGTTCGATCTCATCTATAAATCTATAAATTAGGTTACTCTAATTTGAATCTATCAAGTTTATTAATAGTACCTATATGTCTTTATTTTGATAATGAAAGAATAATACAGTCTTTAGAGTTTTTATAAATTTAATATTCACATTTTAATTTTCACAAAATGGACCGATAGCAAAAAAATACTTTCCCCGTCCCAATATAATAGTTTTATTTACCATTTTTGTCCGTTCCAAAATAATAGTCTTATTTCCATAAATAATCATATCACCATAAAACTACCCATACATTTTCATTTTTATTAGACAATTGTCACTACTTTTTACACTAATACACTCACAAGGGCTAAAAAGTCTTTTACTTATATTTTTTTACTGACTATTAATATAATATTAATATTTCTTTAATCTCATACCAAAACCAATTAAAACTATATTTTTGGAACGGAGAGAGTAAATAAAATTAAAATTAAAGATATGTCCGTACCATGGCAGGTGATTTTTTATTGGCGTCTGCATTCGAGTTCATAGCGATGGCCACCAAAGGGGTCTCGCCGGAAAGGGTGCTAGCATGTGTCGACGAATTGGCAAAGGCGGCCGAAGGGTCAGCGGCGGGATAAATAGTGGACTTGAAACTCACCGGAAATAATGCCAATGTAACACTAGACACATTAGAATTCATACACATCCACAAGTCCGCCGTGCCAGTGGAGGCATCGACGACGGCCATAGGGGCAATTCTCGGCAGTGGAAGTCAAGAACAAGTGGATAAACTACGTCTCTTAGCCCGGAAAATTGGGCTTATGGGTCAGGTGGCGGACGACATATTTGATGTGACCATG